AATCAACTTTAGCTAAAAGTGGAAGCGGCGGATACGAGAATGTTTTTTCACGCTTACAAGGAAGCAGCAGGTTGAGATATTATAATCTGATCAGCAGATACAGATGTTTTGATAATTGTATTGGGCAATATGCACAAAATTCAAAACTGTCAAATTTGGCTTGCAAGTTCATTGATAAAGAAAAAAAATGTAATGACCTTAATTGCATAAACTGTACGGAATTGGCATCGAAATTGGGATCCGATCTATGTCTAGGTCTACCTCCTTTCCATGTATACACTGGTTCCGATTACACCGCAGCTTTTTCTAATAAGGGGAAGCTAAGACCATCTAAGCTATTTTCGAAGAACCAAACGTATCAAAACTGATTTGTTTCATTAACAGATGAAGCTGATATTTTTATTAATGATAAAATGAATGTAATTCAAGAATTAACCTCGGCCATGTATGGTATTAAAAATTATAACAAAGTAAATGACGCCAGATATCGAATATTAATCATTTTGTTAAAAACAATTAAATTGCATCCAAGATCTGTAGTTGAAAATATGGAAAATGTCAATTAATTCCATCAAAGTGGTTGATCCAAAGCAAAAACCTATATTAGAATAAAATTAAATAAGCTAAAGCCATCAGGATATTCTGGATTAAGATTAAAATAAATTAAAATAGTCTTACTAAATAAATAAAAAACCCAAAATTATGTCATTATAGTAAACAAAACAACTTTTGATCAGTCGTTGTGCGCTGCGAGGGCTCGAATCCCGTGCAAAGAGAAATTTTTGTCTTGGCTATGGATGTTGTGATTGTCCGTGGGTAGTCTCTGATTGTCGAACGCAGAGGTACCACCCGGCGGATCTCGTAGGCATGTTGCATGCACACGTGTTCCCTCGCCAGAGTCCGTGTGGCGTTCCCCCTTTCCCTGTATACCCTATAGCCCCACGGTACCCCATGGGTGTTTAGGCCTTGGGCCTTCGTGGTAGTTGGAGTATAAAGAAAAGTGTGTATTAATATTTATTTTCTAAGAATATTGTTCTTTTTGTTTTAAAAACATTTATCGTTACTACTTTGACATAAGTATGTTGAGTACTCCAAAAGCTTTTTTATTACTACTAATAAAATAATCATATTATCTACTCCTAAACATTGCTCTATAGTAAATTCATTTATCAGATTAAGATTCTGATTTATTTATTAATCCAGTTAGATCTACATTGTAGACATTGGATAAGCCGGTGTATACAGATTAAAATATAGATAAAATGAAGTACAATACAAATAACAATAGGAACATAAAAAAAACAATATGATACATACACACAATAAATACATGGCAATAAATTATTTATTAAGATCCATCAGAAGCACTGTGGAATGTGACAAATTTACCAAGGTCTTAAAAACCGCAATCCGATAGCTTGTTCCGCAAGCGTCACTTGAAAAGCCCTGTGGAGTTTACGTTTTTGATCTCCGGAGGTAATAAGTTAAAAAAGTATATTCCAGCTGTTATGGGAGATTTTGAATGAAATGTATGATATGACATATGTCTAACTACTTATATTATTTTTATTACGAGTGCTGTATTCTTGGAGGTCAGTATGCTTAAGATAATCATGTTTGTGCTGAAAAATATGTGTTAAAAGTTTATAAAGGTATATACATGCTACTGTAAGTATTTTGTGTTTAACAAATATCTCGCGGCAAGAAGATCTCTACCGTATTTTAAATATAATGGGAATGATTATCTTTTGTAAGGCAAACACTCTAGAGATTTCACTAGCCTGGCCCAACGCAGTAATCCCATATGAAATGACAGAGTGGACATACGCATAGTAGACATCCATTGATGCTGAGTGTTTAACATCCTCCCTAGCGTAAGTATTAGATACAGACTTTTTCCAAGCTTCTTACATACGGAATCAATTTGCTCTGTCCATCTTAAATTTCAATCAAAGCTTACATCTAAAAACACAGTATTTTTAGAAGTTACAACTGTCTTGCATTGAAGACTGAAATTAAAATTTGACGGAATTTTTGAATCATTTATGAAAATCGAGAAAATAAGTGGTCCAAGGACGCTGCCTTGAGGTGTGCTCCAATCTAAATTGAATTCATCAGATTTTTTATCAGCGACAGTAACATAAAATTTTCTATTCTCTAAAAAGCTAACTAGCCATTGATTCAAATATCCGCGAAAGCCGACATGATGAAGTTTATCGGCCACAAATGACGAACTTACACAATCAAAGGCCTGAGACAAGTGAAATTGGGTACTCACTACGTAATTACCTAAATCAAGTTTATCACAAACATACTGAACATACTCGACAATGCTTGTGTCAGTTGAGAAGCCTGCCCTGAAACCATGTTGGGCATACTTCGAGAAAATAATTAATAGCGCGATTGGCGGGTAAAGTTTTCAACATCACAATTTTCACCTTTTTTAAATATCATAATTAACGATGTCAGCTTAAGAGCTGTTGGAAATTTACCAGCAGCAACCAATTCATTAATGATGTCTGCCAATACTGGGGCAAAGATATCCATGTTCTGTTTTACTAAATAGATTGGAATTTCATCAGGCCCTGTAGATTGCTTGTCTGAAATATTATACTAAGTGACATATAAATCCGAACACCCAGTTTAAATGGTTTTATTTTAATAAAAGTTGGTGAATGTATTTATCTTACTGTAAATAACAAGTGAAAAAATTTTCAGCCTTATCAGTTGTACATTCCGGTTTTTATACTGCTTTTTTTTAATTCACTAATGCTCTAAAAATGAATATTTCAGCCGCAGTAAAGAATCAACGATGGCGGATTTTGGTTCTTGACATCCTTTACGATCGGTTACGATGCCTAGAGTACGGAGACCTGTACGATTTCGTCAACTTAGTGAGTTCGGACTTCGGGAAGCTGGACCTTCTTTTCGGGCAATTGCAGTTAGAGTGCAAAGAAGTGTAGACACTGTGGTTAGGTGTTGTCGGGCATGGCTTCGAGAAGGCCGTACGCAAAGAGCAAGGGGCACTGGACGCCGCCGTAGAACAACAGACCGTGAAGATCGCCGCCTAAGATTATTGGCCTTAAGGGACCGTTTCTCCACTACCAGGTCCATTGCAAATGAATGGTTTGCAGAACACGGAAGACTTATTGGCTTGCGAAGTGTTTACCGACGAATGAGAAGTTTTGGCGTGTTTTCATACCGGCCACACTGGGTCATCCCTTTAACTCGAGAACACCGACGTAATCGCCTTGAGTGGTGCAGACAACGGTCACTCTGGGATCAGGAATGAAACAGTATTGTCTTTAGTGACGAGTCTCGATTTTGTTTAGGCATGCACGATGGTCGTGCCAGGGTTAGAAGGCGACGTGGTGAAAAGAAGGAATCCACAGTTTTTTGTTGAAAGACATGTTCATCACACTGTTGGAGTTATGGTTTGGGGTGCTGTAGCTTATGGTTCCAGGTCACCTTTAATCTTCATCAGAGGTAACATGAACGCGCAGCGTTATATCCACGAAGTTCTAGAACCCCATCTTTTACCCTATCTTGACACCCTGGCAGATCCAACTTTCCAACAAGATAATGCCCGACCACATGTTGCAAGAGTCACAATAGACTTCTTTCAACATAATGATGTGACATTGTTACCATGGCCACCAAGATCTCCCGACTTATCCCCAATTGAGCACGTGTGGGATATGATGGGTAGGAGATTGCTCAATTTGCAACGTCCTCCTCAGACTCTAGAAGCACTTCGAGAGGAGTTGGTGGTTGCCTGGAATGATATACCACAGGAGGACATTGACCAAGTGATCAGAAGCATGCCTAGGCGCGTTGGAGAATGCGTAGCACATCAGGGTGCATCCACACATTATTAAAGGTCAAAGGGCATTAAAGCAGTGCAATCATTTTGAAATAATAATAAAATAAAACCATTTAAACTGGGTGTTCGGATTTATATGTCACTTAGTATACTTATCACAAATATAACGTCATCAGTAGTGACATGGGTGAAAAACATTGATTGTTTGGCTGTTTCGCCAGTCGCCAGTAGTGCAGGAATCCAACAAAACGGTTGGCCATTTTCTTGCCAATGGATACATGTTTTCCAAAAACGTTGGCCATATCAGTAGGGTTGGTTATAGTTACATTATCGCAGAATAATTCTGTGATAACTGCATTTTTTTGTTTACCTTTTATTGAATTGACAATATTCCAAGTAGTTTTCTGTTTATTTGAAGATTTGCTTATTATCGAGTGATAGTATCTAATCCTTTCATCACGAATATTCATCTTTTTTAAAAGATTTAAATTTTGTTTACAGATTAGTATCTTGAATCTCTTTTCGTAGTCATGCTAGGTTATTCAATCGATCTATTTTTTCTTGAAGTAACTTAGAGAATTTAATTTTCTTATGAGAAGTATTTTTATGAACATTTTTACGTTTAAAGCCTATGTTGAAAGACCACAAGCACGTTTCTAGAAAATCATCAAAATAGTCATTTATTTTATACTTCTTAATGTCACCAAACCCATGCTTCAGTAACAAATTACACATGTAGTTAGGTGTTCAGTGGTTTTCATGGTATGATATCTGCTATAAAAAATAAATTGTCCCATATGATCTGATCTCCCCATGGCTAACTTGGAGAATCAGAGGTTTATAGGTACTGCCCATTTCAACAATACTTGATGCTTATAATTTACTCGTATATAGATTACACTTTCGTACTTGTATTACTTGTATCTGTTTTGTCTGTGTACGTACTTAATTGTATTAAAAAAAAATAATAAAATAAATATAAGAGTATGAATATCAAGTTTTCTTCCAAAACTAATCTGAAGGATCGAGTGTTGAAATACTCGCATATTATCACTAAAACGTAAACAAGATGAAAGTTGTTAGAAAACATATTGGTTCAATTCAAAAAATTTAATCACAGTACACCACTTCTAGAAATAAAAGTTCATTCATGAAGCTAACAATAATTATCTAGTGTCTATGTGTAAATTACCTTGTCTAAGTAGTCTGACACATCATACACGCTACTCTTAATTACCAACCATACGGTTTTTCTAATTTTGCCATTGTGTCTGGAAACTTCTTCTAGCGAGAAATGTTGAGTCGTATTCACCTCTTGAACCATTTGTTATAGAAATATTAGCATCACACTACCATCTAAGTGTATACTGATTTTGAAATAAATTTGAGGTTATATCTATTTTTCAAATTCCAGAGAGACAATCTAATCAGACGATTCGTGAAAAACAACTATTGTATCTCGTCCTTATCTGGAATTTACTCAGCTAATAAACAAACCTAAACATATATTATCTGAAAGGTCTATAAACGATAACCAGAAATACAACTCGCGTATCCACCTAATAGACATACCATACTTCACAGATCATAGACTTTTCAATACAGTTGCGCTTAAAACTCAGGAGACCTCAGCATACCTATCTGTCGCAATTGTCGTACATCAGAGGTTGTAAATATTGTATCTTTGCTAGTAGATCTGAGGGACTTATAAAAGGCATGCGGCGCAGTGACGCGATATGCACATACGAACATTATGCTTGAAATGTAATTTAATGAGGTAACTTGTTTTTTTGAGGTAATATTATATAGTATTAAGCATTATACAGGGTGACTTTGAAGTTGAGTCATTAATTTTCAGATAATGATTGTAGAAGGAAGATAAACCAAAATATGTGTGTAAAAATAAAAAAAAAATAAAAAAAAGTTTTACCTTGTTTTATAAAGTATCCTCCCGACAAGTATTTCAGTGCGGACCTGTATTTGATCGTGAGGTCTTGGAGCACCGGCATGCCGTCACCTGTGAGGTCTTAAGTCACCTGATTCACGAGCCCGTTGTACTACATTAACAAAGGCACGAGGGGTTGGTTGCACTCGATTGGGAAACCGATCCGCATAAACATGTGCCATTTTTTATTTCGTTTGAGCCACGCAACAGACACCACTATTCACTCACGCGTTACCGTCTGACACTGACTGTATATAACTGAATAAAATAATTGTAAAAACATCGTTCCAAATTCTTTCGCTTTTTTGTTTCCGATGCGATGAACTGATAAGGCGGATTATATCCGTTGTTTTCAAACACGAGCACATAATATTATTATTGAGACAGGGCGGTACTCAAACTTCCAAAGGGCTATAACTTTGTTACTTTAATTTTACCAGAAAAATGGTAAAGGAAAAAAACATTTCTTTTGATCAGATCTACTCACTGTTAAAATAAATGACTCAACTTCGAAGTCACCCTGTATATAATATATAAGTAAGTACGTATCAAGAGCTATTATAATCACTTAGCAAACGTTGTTGACAAACAGTTTTACACCAGAGTTCCAAAGAAATGAGGCTAACGTATACAATAGGCTCATAACTATAATCTGACGATTTAAGTTTTCCTGAAAAACCCAAATAGCAACACAAAACTTACATCTCTTTGATGCCATTGGACTACATGGAAAATTGTACTAGCGGTTGTTTCGAAGGCGTGGAAGTATAGAGTGTTATACATGTTAGGAATTAACTTTTCTCCTTAAAAAATAATCCTTTATGAACTGATGACAATGTTGCGTGTTAAGAGTAAAATCAACCTACTTGACGCCATTTTATACTGAGGCAGCCGCGAAGGCAAAACCTGAATACGGAGATACCGCGACTGCTAAGAAAGTGTGAAAGGTATTTGACTGATGCTGCACGACACCAGATGATTTTAAAAGTTTCTGGACTCCAAGTGAGAAAATATTAGTCGATGTCTGAAAATGCTTTTTTTCTTCAATATAACTTCTATTAAGTTCAATACATTTTTCCGATTCTTTATTTGATTTACACCTTCTCTGAAGTTATTCTCTGGATGCACTTCAAAATACCTGTCTACGGATGTAATTACTTGTATTTCCTAAGCATGAAAGCATGTGGCAACACTGTAACTTTTGACTGAGATGACAGATCGAGTAGTGACGTAGCGCGTTTGAAGCATCAGTCTAAGGAGATTTTTGCAATGGAGCAGTACACTCCACGCGAACACTCTCAGATTGTTGAAATTTACATTCAACAAAACAAGTCAATTGTGAAAACTCAACGTGCATGGAGAAAAATAAATAAAGTGAAAGAAAAAAAGATTTTCATCAGGTGAGACACTTACTAATCCCAAGCGTCCAAATAAAAAGCGACCAAGGCGATCGGATGAAAATATCGCACTCGTACGGGCCAGTGTTCAGAGGTCTCCAACAACATCTCAAACACGTCGATCTGAGAAGTTGCGCATAAAACGAACCACTTTACGTCGCATATTGCGTCATGATTTGCATTTGTTCCCATACAAAATTCAACTGACGCAAAACCTGTTACCTGCCGATAAGCCACGTCGATTGAAATGGGTGCAAAGAGTCATCGAAATGGCTGAAAGTGACGATCATTTTTGGCAAAAACTCATCATGAGCGATAAATCTCATTTCATGTTAGCCGGAGCCGTGAACAAACAAAATTGTCGGTTCTATGGTACTGAAAATCCTCAAATTATTTACGAGGTACCTCTTTGTGACCAAAAAGTGACTGTTTGGTGCGGTATTTGTGCTGGTATGGTCGTTGTGCCGTTCTTTTTCGAAGATGAAGCTGGCAAAGCGGTTACCGTCAATCAGGAGCGTTATCGCGATATGGTAACTGATTTTTTGATGGCAATTGTTCGTGACAATGGTATGGAGCATTTCTGGTTTCAACAAGATGGCGCTCCACCACGCACAGCTCGAGCTACTATCGATTTTTTGAAACTGTTGCTCCCTGAACGTCTGATGTCGAAAAATGGTGATTTTGACTGGCCACCGCGTCCACCAGATTTAACGGCTCCAGACTTCTTTTTGTGGGGCTACTTGAAATCGAAGGTTTATGTCAACGAGCCAAGGATCCTAGACGCACTTAAGGCCAACATCCGACAGGAAATAGCCGCCATATCAACCGAAACATTGGGCAAAACGATGGAACACTCTGCATCACGGGCACTTTTCGCTGTACAGGCTCATGGCGGTCATTTAAGAGATATCGTTTTCAAAAAATGATTTTTGAAATGAACAGTAAGAAATGTGTTTTTTCCTATGATTTAAAAAAAAACATCTTTTCGCCGAATATGGCCAACCCTTGAGTGTTAGACGTAATTGACCTATTTACTTTTTGATACGTTCACCATATCAGTATAAATTTAATCTTCGTTCAATTCATCTCTATGCATTTTTCCATTTTCTAAGACGACACTATTTTTTAGATCAGCTTGAAGCTAGGCATGTGTTCATATTTTCTAATACGAACGCCTTCTATATGCGAGTCCAGAATCTCTTCAAATCACCTATTGAATGGGAACCTTGAATACATCGCAGTTATAGTTTTTTTAAATGACTCTGAGACCTTTATTTCACAATAAATGTGTTTTTAGTAATGAACCTGCTGAAGTTTAAAATATTCCAGCTTCGAATGTACTTTCATACGCCGGAAGAAGATGATTTTCCTCATCTGCTAGTTAATAATGCAGTTGACACATGCAGCTCATTCTATATACGAGTCAGTCCCACACAAGCCTCATACAATTTTTTTATAAAAATGCGCATTCTCAGGATCTTATTTCGAAACTATTAGCTTTTGTCCATGTATCTTAGCACTGCTAAAGTGCATAGACAGCTAGAAAGCTTTCTGATGCAGGCTGCTCAAGTAGATATGGATTATTTTTATTTCCATGTATACCAAGATATAGAAACTTGCGAGAAATACATGTTTGTAGAATCACTGATTAACAGTCTTCAATAATATTCCTAGTCCGATGCTGGAATTGAATAGCATGTTTAATATCCGTCTTGCTATAAAGGTGCTCACTCAATCATGATCCACGTCTCAAACTAGATATGTTATGTAACATTTCCGTAATAAAAGTGTTCATTTTATTTATACAAGTCCTTATAAAAAATATGTACTATAGTAATTTTCTAATAAACATTTTTATATTTGTTCTTCGTACATTTTGACAAAATTCCCAGTTACTTAAAAGTATAATCCAGATATGTGAACAACAGCTCTGAAAACGGTCCTGAAATTCATTATTGACAACGTTTAATACAAAGATGTCACCTCGGTAGACGTCAAAACGTAATGGATACTCGTAAAAAATACATTACGCCATTGTGTACAATAGTTTCGATGTGCTTGCACGATTTTCTCGCGAAGGATCTAGCCACGCTGCACGGCGGCCGTCCATCGCATAGTGCAGTCCACGACGTCCCAAAAGTTTGCTTCAGATTCAGATTCTAACATTGTGAAATTACAGTCGACCAGTTCAGTAGAGGGCTCAAATCGCGGATATGCTAAAAACTGGTTATATCAACCCTGATTTTTCGCAAAGCTATGCCGAAGCGGTGTATTCCTACGGAGTCTCTACAACATGCATATATTTTTTGGTAGCACAATTCTTCGTTGGAATATTGGAATCACCCTATATAATCCTAACCCAGTTTATTAAGTATGTGGTATTTACAGCAGTAGTACAATTAGACCTACATTATAACAGTAGGAGCGTTATGTACGAAATCATTTTTGGTATTTTGCGTATTAAAATAGCACATACCTGTCCTCGTTTTCCCGTTCACCCCACCAATGAGAATATGTAATTTCGGGCTACTATCTAGAGTAATTTGTTTGAAAGCCATATTTGATAATAAGTAACATAAAATAGCCCTCAGGGTTGAACATTTTTCTAGCATATGGGCGATTTGCGCTCACTACTGAACTAGACGACTGTAATTATTTCATTTTAACGCAGATACGTATACGCGTGTTAAAAATTAGTATATCATTCTTAAGTCTCAAGGAGAAATGTAAGGGGAAATCAATGTGAGATGTGTCTAATCGATGGGTATAATTATTGGATTTTTAAACTTATAAATATGCTTACGCCAAAAAATACCCCCTGACCACTACAAACATTTTTACGAAAATTATCAGGAACCTCTGAAACATCAAAAAATTTGTTTAAGCGGTTTTTTTTGTCGTCTTTTGCCAACGTCTCCGTCACAATTGGACCCTAAGGGGCAACAATTTGAACACTTATTGAAATGAAAAGTGATATTTTCGTGTGCCTCTGTTTTCTATCTGAACAAATTAAGATAATTAAAGATTTTTCTAGTTTTCTCGAAAACGAGTCGACTGATTTTAAAAAATCAAACGTCAAAACAAAGGTCTTTAAAGTACCTTTCAAACAAGCTATTACTCGATACCCCTTGTCATTTAAAGTTTTTAAGGGAATGACTCTGGGGGACCGAGGGTGGAAGGGGGTGCAGCAGTTTTTGGTTAAAAAGTTGTCCCCCTTGATAAATTTTTTGACGTGTCTCGGCGTTTTTTCTTTTATTCAGTGGTTTTCGATAAATCCGTGGTGGGAAGTTTTCAAATGTATAATATGAAAATTTTATGATCGATACTTTCCAAGTTATAGACGGGCCAAGGATTATTGGAAAGACCGACAGACAGACAGATCGACTATCGACAGACAGACCAACTGAAATGAGTAACATTAGATGTAACATTCAAAAACATAATATCTCATTTTCGAAATTTTCCGCTATTACAATACTTCCTCGACAGTGACGTGGGAAATAAAATCGCACCCTTACGATATCCGTTTATGATCTACATATATGTTGAGAAAAGCGACAGACAGGTAGAGGATATAAGGGCCTAAGAGGGACGAATAGATGGCCGTATTTTCGCTCAACATACCTACTCTATAGTACTTCACATCAAACGTTCCCAGGGGTCAAAAGATATTAATTTAGATATAGGACAGCTATTCTATAGTGATCCCTTGGCTGCCTCGCAAATGGCACTGTGTATTGTAAATATGGACGTGTCGATGATTTAACTACACATGAGCGTAGATGTTCGATATTGAACTAGCTTTTTATACATTTGTGCTGACGATATAAAATAATGATTATTTTGAGTTTGATGCACGATGCAAAGCTTAGGCATGCGGTAATGTCGCAGCGCAATGGCAGTAGGTGTTTCTGGATGATAGCATTGATAGTCTTCTACCTGATGATAGCCAACCTGAAACTACATTCCTGCGTCCAAAAAATTATCCGAACGTCATCTACGTCATATCGCCCTGTATAGGACACTGATAGCAGCTGTCCAGTAATTTAGATCCGGAAAATTTTTGAGACGAAAAGCGAAATAACCGAGGTATTTACTATGGAAACTGACCCAGGGGGGTCAGAATACGGCGCTTCCACCATGGCAATGGATATGGAGTCAAAGGAGCAGACCGTAGATGAGTTGAGAGTTTGAGAGATGGTTCGACAGGAGCTGTCAAAAAAGGACGATGATAAGAAGACCATTGAAAGATTGATGATGATCATCGAAGCCCAGCAGCGGACAATTAACAACCTAACAGTTAAATTAGACCTCCTACTGAAAACCCAGGTACCTTCCCATCTAAATATTACACGTTCTTCCCAAACACTCCAACAAAATCCCAGTAAAGACAAAGCTGTCACTCTTAAGAGACCGTTTTTATCAAGGTTAAGTCCCGTAAAACGCGACGGAACAAGACCGACATGACAGGCTTTCCTCCTCTCACTCCACCAGAATCACAGACTGAAACGTCTCGTTCAACTACAAGCGACTCGAATAAACAGCCTTTGCCTAATCTATCGGTCACTTCTTCGCCTTCGACATCCCAGGTATCAGAAGACACGACCGCACAGCCCCCATACAAGGTACGTGTTACCCCCATCGTTCTTCGCGATGCTTCGAGATGGCGAAGCGTAAATCACAAGTTTATTTCTTTGGGCATCAAATTCGAACGCGCGGTTGCCGTCGATGCAGGAATCAGGATAATTCCCAACTCCAAGGATGATTACCGCAGGAATATTCATCTCTTCAGGTAGGAAGAGCCCTACCACACTTTCCCCCTACCCTCGGAGAGGAACATTCATGCTGTAATCAGAGGAGTACCTGCGACACTTTCGGAAACGGAGATCAAGGAACATAATTCACCTGAAACGCGGTGGCGGCGTGCCCATGCCTATGGTGGTAGTCATACTGCCCAAGATAGAAAAATCTCAGCAGCTGTTCAACGAACATGAACTGCTAGGTTTGGCTAACAGAGTCGAAGTTCAAAAGAACTCAAGACTCATCGGGCAGTGTCACCGCTGCCAAAAATATTGGCATGCGCAATCTTACTGCACTGCACCATCTAAGTGTCTAAAATGTGCTTCTGGCCACATGACCCACTATGTAAGTTACGCGGATGCAGCTAGAGATGCAGCCCGGGCTGCCCCCTCTGTGACATCTTCTGCGAACACGCAAAATGTGGACCTGGCAACCGCGCTAAGGTCCTTACAGTAGATCATAGGGCCTCTGATTAGCGCAACACAGGCTTTGCAGGCGATCTTTCCTGCAAATGGCTAGGTACAATGGACGACAGCCTGCATTTATCAAAATTCTTTTTTGGAATTGTTTGGGTCTAAGGAACATTCCCAAAAAACGGGAATTTCATCAAGCTGATGAGTGATAGTGAAACGCGGTATTGGCCACCACAGAAGCACAAACGCTGAGATACAGAGCATCGAAGCGGCTTCCGTGGTGGTCAATATGACGGGAGGTGTGCCGTTAAAAATCAAATCGGTGTATGCCAGGTGTGATATCAGGCTGCAAGAGGCGGATCTGGAAGTCCTTTTAGATTGCTCGGGTCCACTTATTGTGGCAGGGGACTTCAACTGCAAACATCGATCATGGCATTCTAGGTTGAATTCCACCAGTGGGATCCGACTGTACAACCATGTGATACGGAATGGCTACCTCATACATAGTACTGAGGACCATCCATTTAATCACCTTCAGGCACCTGATGTTCTTAATTTTGCAATATCCAAAAACTGTAGATACAGTATCACTTCTCGAATCATGTATGACATCTCAAACGATCATCTTCTCGCCGTTTTGGAAGTGGGTAATGAGCAGGTCTTGGAGGATGATACCCCTCCAAGGAAACGCATTGATTGGGAGTTATACAAGTCGCTCCTCAGAGAGTTCCCCAATATTCCGATCATAGATGATGAGAACGGTATAGATGCGGCTCTAGCGGAGTGGACAAGTTTTGTTCAGCAAGCTCTGCAGCGTGAAGATGTACTTCCCGTACAGCGACACGGCAGACCTTTTCTGCCAGCAGACATTCATCAGAAAATCTCTGATAAAAGGGCTGCAATTAAGCAAGCGAGGAGGTCTTGTCATCCCGATGAGATTCGCAGAGCGGCGAATCTTGTTCATGAAGTAAGAAATGCTCTTCATAAATTCCGCAATGAGCAATGGAACGACTTTCTGGCGGGGATGCTTGACTCAACCATTCCTCGCTGGAAGGTGGCGAAGTCACTCAAAAACGGAAAGCGTGAACAAATCCCACACATCCACGGTCCTGGAGGCATTGTCTTCAGGACGGAGGAAAAGGTTGAGGTTTTCGCCGATGCCGTGGAAAGACAGTTCTTTCCCAACTATGATCTTGATAATGACCTCGACGAGGCGCAACACGTCGGAAGATCTGTCAGGACGTATTTTAGGGCCAACGGCGTCAGTGACAGTCCCGCTACCGTTGGTGATTTTTCTTCATCAGAAGATTCTTCTTCAGATGCTTCCTCAATCGAAGATCTGCTTAGCACATCAGCGGAATCTCCCGAGATCCCGCATTGCACACCAGCAGAGATTCAAGGTCATATTAAAGACCTTAAAGTTCGTAAAACACCTGAGGAGGATCAAATCACTAATAAGGCGTTAAAGCTGCTTTCGCGGAAGTCCTTAACTTATCTCGTGGCAATAGTTAATGCCATGCTAAGGACCCAGTACTTCCCATCTGCGTGGAAAACCGCTGAAGTTATAATGATTCCAAAGAAGGTGGGTTCGATATTTCCTCATGATTAACTTCCCATTAGCCTGCTGTCAGCTCCGTCTAAGCTCGCTCCTTGAGAATTTCTCGTCAGATCACCATGTGATTCCTGGTGGGCAATTCGGTCTGAACATAGTGCGGAGCTACAGGCGGTTAGGCTGGTGGAACGAGTAATCAGAGGATTCACCCTTAACGTAAGTACTGGCATCTTGCTTTTGGATGTCTCAAAAGCATTTGACAAGGTGTGGCACGCGGACCTGCTGTATAAACTAATCCAAAAGGGCTTCCCTTTTTGGCTTCTAAAACTACTGAAATCCTTCCTTGAAGGTAGGAAATTTCGGATCAAAATTTACAACGCCCTGTCGACAACACGACTGATTATAGCCAGCGTCCCTCAGGGTTCGGTCCTTGGACCTATCCTTTACTCACTGTACAACCATGATGTCCCTAGTCCCAGCAACTGTGAAGTCTATCTCTATGCTGACGATACTGCATTGGTGGCTCAGTCGTTGGCCGGTGACCTAGTCCATGACAGGCTGCAAAAGCGGTGGAGGAAGTATTAGATTGGGCGGATCGGTGGCTAATTAAAATTAACCATTCGAAAACGCAGGCAATCTACTGTCGCGGCGCTCCGTCTGAAGTTTCAATGAATGGACTTCGTATACCAAGGGAATCCTCCGCTAAGTATCTCGGTGTCATTCTGAACAAAGGGATGACTTGGCGAAACCATATAGAAGCGCTAAAAACTAAATGCCAAATTACGTTTCGACAGCTTTACCCATTATTATGTAAACGTTCAAAATTAAGTTTGATTAACAAGATTCGACTCTATAAGGTGGTCATAAGACCAGCAATGACTTACGCATGTGCGACTTGGTGTTTTATTGCTAAAACACACATGCGAATTCTGCAGGTTCTGCAAAGCAGGACGTTGCGCACTATTGCTGACGCCCCATGGTATGTCTCTAACGAAACTCTACATAGAGACCTCGATGTCCCTTACCTAAAGGACTACATTAGGCAACAGGCGCAGCGGCGCTATAGCCTAGCGGAATCGCACAGCAACCCTCTGTTGCGTGAGTCAGTGGACTACACAGTCGAGCAAGTTCGCAAGCACAAAAGGCCGCGGCTCGCACTGTAATCAAAATTAATTCGTGAATCTAGAACAACCAAAATTGGAGCATTTTGACAGAATCTTTAGAAAAAATCGAATATTTTTAGACTATATCAAAATCTGTGAAGTCATTTTAACAATGCCTAAACGCTGCCTATCCTAAAAGATTCTCTTCTTCCCCTTTGCTCTCGTTCTTCCTTCTCTCCCTTCCTTCCGTTTTTTCCTTAAAATTGTCTGGTTTCTGGGTTACCAGAACTGACAGACTTACAAACTGACACTGTGACTTAAGAGCTAAGGTCCCACGGACCGCTCTGACAACCAACGATGACTTGACTGACTTGACTTGTCATCTACGTATAAGAATTTGTGACAGCTATGTTTCTCCTATCCGCTCTAATTGATAAATAATAAATTGAATAATCTAAAAAATAAATGCAACAAGAAAAATTTTGTTCAAATTCGGATTGTCATAACTTACTTAGTTTTTTGTATTGATTTTTTCGGCAGATGGTAGTTACACTCATTGGCATCAATGAGTAGATACGTTCTGTACGAATTCAAAAAGTTGTCACCAAGTTGAACAGAAATCGATTACCTTCCTGAGTTAGTTCACATTTTTTTACATCTCCATTGTTACCGTTATCTACAGTGGCGGAAAAATGAAAACTTTTGATTTAACTTAAAAACACGCTGCACAATAATGTCACACTCCCCTTCTGAAATACAGTGTCAGGGCAATAACTATATCTCCCTTATCCTCCAATTTTGTGTTCTTAAAAATTCTAGCGATGATTGCTCTTTTGGAACAAAATGAATGGAACACAACAGTTCACACATTTTAGTCAGTATTATACTCTTCAGATAGGCGCCTCTAGTCGTTCTCGACTCGAATATTGCTCCTAGATAATATTTCCTTCATTGTATGTGAGGGAGCATGATTTAGGCATATTTTGCATTATGCTGAGCAGCTCATTTTCAAATTGCATACTAAAGGTGATTGATAACCAACCAACCAACAACATATACTAAGTGACATATAAATCCGAACACCCAGTTTAAATGGTTTTATTTTAATAAAAGTTGGTGAATGTATTTATCTTACTGTAAATAACAAGTGAAAAAATTTTCAGCCTTATCAGTTGGTCATTCCGGTTTTTATACTATTTTTTTTTAATTCAATAACGCCCTAAAAATGAATATTTCAGCCGCAGTAAAGAATCAACGTTGGCGGATTTTGGTTCTTGACATCCTTTACGATCGGTTACAATGCCTACAGTACGGAGACCTGTACGATTTCGTCAACTTAGTGAGTTTGAGGGGCCGTACAGTGGGACTTCGGGAAGCTGGACTTTCTTTTCGGGCAATTGCAGTTAGAGTGCAAAGAAGTGTAGACACTGTGGTTAGGTGTTGTCAGGCATGGCTTCGAGAAGGCCGTACGCAATGAGCAAGGGGCACTGGACGCCGCCGTAGAACAACAGACCGTGAAGATCGCCGCCTAAGATTATTGGCCTTAAGGGACCGTTTCTCCACTACCAGGTCCATTGCAAATGAATGGTTTGCAGAACACGGAAGACCTATTGGCATGCGAAGTGTTTACCGACGAATGAGAAGTTTTGGCTTGTTTTCATACCGGCCACACTGGGTCCTCCCTTTAACTCGAGAACACCGACGTAATCGCCTTGAGTGGTGCAGACAACGGTCACTCTGGGATCGGGAATGGAATCGTCTTTAGTGACGAGTCTCGATTTTGTTTATGCATGCACGATGGTCGTGCCAGGGTTAGAAGGCGACGTGGTGAAAGGAGGAATCCACAGTTTTTTGTTGAAAGACATGTTCATCACACTGTTGGAGTTACGGTTTGGAGTGCTTATAGCTTATGGTTC